GGCCGCCGCCGCCAGTAGTTAACCAGCGAGAGGAACGCAGACCACCCCAACCACCGCGAGCGTGTTATACTTGCGGTGGAGACCATTTCGCGCGATTTTGTTCTCAGCAGAGGCGGGGAAACGACCCCGGGGCCGTGGTGCAGTTATACACCCGGCCCCCGCATCATGCAATTGGAGGCCGAGGCCTAGAAAGTAACCTTAACGACGTATGTGGGGAAGCGGTAGAAGTATGTCCGCGAATTGTAGTCGAGCTCCAAGGACGGCGAGTACGAGCCCTCGTGGACACGGGGGCTTCGGAAAATTTTATCCGTACGGCTCTGCTCAATTAGGAAGAATTACGAGCGGTGACGGCGATTAACCGGGAAATCCGGTTAGGCTGTACGGGTAAAACGGCGATCATGCGGGGACGTTTGTCGATGGAGACGCGGATACAACAGATCCGCACGACGGTTACTTTCACTGTTATGGACGATCTAAGGGAGGAGGTCGTGCTAGGATTGGAGTGACTAAGGATGAATGAAGCGGTCGTGGACTTACAACGCAGATGCTTGCATATCGGCCTGGTACCTCGCTAAACTACATATTGGGGGCAGAAAGTTATAGAACTAGTGGCGGACCCACCACCACTATTTTTAGTGGAACATTTGTCCGGGAGTTGGAAACAACGCTACGGGGAGGTCTTGCGGAAACATGCGAAATCGTTTAGTGAAATACAGCGGCCGGCTACAACCGCGACAACCGATCATCGAATTATATTGCGAGACGAGGCACCGGTGCACAGTCCAGTGTACCGGTGTACTGAAGCGCGGAAGCGCGCTATAAATGAGGAAATTGTGGGAATGTTGCGGACGGGAATTATTCGACGGAGTGCCTCAGAGTATTCTAGTCCCATCGTAATAGTAACGAAAAAGGACGGGACGTACAGGCTGTGTATAGATTACCGCAAACTCAACGAGAAGACGTTGGTGGAGGTTAGCCACCTCCCGCCCATTCCCGACACGTTAGAGGGCTAGGTACTGCGCGAATTTTTACTAGCTTAGACTTGAAGAGCGGGTACTGGCAGGTGAGGATAGCCGAGGGGGATAAACGGTACACGGCGTTCACCACCCCGGATGGAGCGTCCTTTGAGTTCAACGTGATGCCTTTCGGCCTCGCGGGAGGTCCTGGGACGTTCCAGAAGCTGATGGTGGGCGTCCTCGAGGGCTACCTTCACCGCTTTGTCAAAGTATACCTAGATGACATTGTTGTATATTCGAAAAATTTGGAAGACCATCTCCGCCATCTAGACCTAGTTCTCGAGCGGTTAGGGACACATGGGTTGGTGTGCGCTCCGAGCAAGTGCGTCATAGCGGATAATAAGATAGAATACCTGGGGCATGTCATCACCGAGGAGGATAATGTCCCGCAACAGAAACACTGGGATCAGGGATTTCCCTGTCCCCCGCACGATGAAGGAATTAAGGCAATTCCTGGGAACCGCCAACTGGCTTAGGGAATATATACCCGAATTCGCGACATTAGCGGCGGCGATGACAGACATCCTGCGGGAGGAGAAAAGAAAATTTCGATGGACAGCGGCGGCGCAGAAATCTTTTGAGGCGGTTAAAAACGCGATGGCCGGTCCGCTGTGTTTAAGTCGCCCGAACCCAGAGCAAGAGTTCTATCTACAAACCGACGCGAGCAGCATCGGGATGGCGGCGGTATTGTACCAAAGGGACGGTAACGGGCCGCGTCAAATAATTTCGTATGCGTCCGCGAAGTTTACATTGGCAGAACGAAAGTACCATATAAATGAGCAGGAGGTGTTGGCGGCGGTATGGGCCATCCGACGCTATAGAATGTTTTTACAGGACGCGCCTTTTCACCTATTAACGGATAATAGAGCGTTGTTGTGGTTAAGGCGCTACCAAGATGATAAAGCTAAATTAACGCGATGGGCGCTAATGCTACAAGAGTACAATTTCGACGCCGCCGCCAGGAGCGAAGCTCCGAGAAATCGTGGCCGATCTGCGTGCGGGAACAAACATCGATACTACGAGCCAGACGCGTGCCGTTTCTGCGAGTTCAAGGCAGGAGCCCGCCTTGACCAATCTAGTAACGAATTCTTACCTGGTGGGTAATATTCCGACAACCGACCGACACCCCGAGCAGCCACCCATGGAGATGACGTCCACCCCAGCCGGTAACCTGGAGGTTACGCCCGAGGGACACCATCCGAGCGGCAGGCGCCGTTCCCCAGCTGTCGAGGTGTCCCAATCCGACTTCGATGAAATCAAGGTCTGTCCCGAGCTTGAAGCCCCCGCTGTAGGTAGCAGGCGCTACCCGCAGCAGATGTCAAGCCACGAGCTCCCCAGGCCACCCGAGACGCTTGTTAAACCGGCAGATGAAGTACCACTGGCACCCTGTCGCAGCATGGGAGTTAAACCGGCAGATGATGTACCACTGGCACCCTGTCGCAACGTGGGAGTTAAATCGGCAGATGATGTACCAGTGGCACCCTGTCGCAGCGTGGAAACCAGGCCACCAGAGGATGGACCACTGGCACCCTGGCGTGACGAAGAGGTTCAGGTCAACGACGGGCGATGTAGCGTGCACCCGCACGCCAACCAAACGCCCAGGTCGCCCGACGACGCGCCCCAGGACCAAGTGCGGTGGTCACCGCGCTGGTAACTATCCCGTCGAGAATTGTTGTTTTGATTTTTATGGATTTTTAAGAGTTTTTGTTAAGTTTATATAGTTTTTTTAATTTATTTTGACTTTTGTTGTTGTAAATACGTTTTTTTGAGATTGTAATTTTGTTTTAGAGTTGTATTTTTCAGGTTGAATTTGTACCAATAAACTAGGTACAACGGAAAGTCAGCACCAAGCGTCTTTTCGAGCGGAGGGATGTCACTAAGGACGAGTTTTCGGTGCGGTGGGCGGAGCCTAGCTCTACCGCACCGAAACATATAAAAAGGCTAGGCGCACGTCTTAGCCAGCTAGTTGAGTTCCAAGCGAGCAGCCGAACTGTGCGGACGTAGTTTGTGCAGTGCAGCAGTGAGTGTCAGTGCGAGGAACAGTGAAGTGGAAGCCCCACAAAACCTGTCTTTTACAAGACAAGTAATATTCTGCCTTTATTAAGGCAATCTATAGAAAGAATTCGGCAATTTTGTATTGCAAAATTTCTACTAACAACCGACGTTATCTCAGCCTNAATGGGACTAGCCTGGGCATAACCGGCACAGGTAACTGTAACAAAGATGCCGTCGGCCTCTATGCTTAAGCCGGGGATTAGGTCGGTGATGAAGAGGAAAGAAAGGGATTCTTTCCAGGTAGCCTTAATAAAGGCAGGTAGAATTTGCTCCTTGTACTACACTTTCACAAAACACGTGTGCTCTGCTCGGCTGCCCGCTCGGAACTGCGGTTCAACCTACGTACCAACTGGTAGGGTCCGAGGAATGCCTTGAGTCCAACCACGGTTCACGGTCTAGCCCCGATAGCGGCCTACCTCCGAGAGGTCGGGTGTTTCGGAACGTGAGCTAGCCGTCGGTGACGACGCTACAGTTCATTCAGCTTTTTTACGAAGTGGTATCCAGCGGGAGCAATGCGCATCGCGTTCGGGTGCCATAGTAAGCGAAAATCCCTTGGCCGACTACGTCGTAGATGACGAAGCCGGCCTTTTTTATCAAAACAATACTTGTACGTCGCCCGTCCATTCTCATGATTTCCCCCGAACATACGATCACCGCCAAAGTGGTCCATATCAAGAAAGTCTAAGCCGACACAGCGCTCAACGCGGAGTTCGACACTCTTCGTCGAGATCTCCCCCGCGAGCTCGTGTCCTAGACACAACGTCTGTAGGTCATATACACCACAGATTCCAGTCGTCAGAAAATATAGTGCGACCGGGAGTCGATAGCGACGATCCCCGTGAACTCCGTGCGTTTCTGCCGCGGAACCCGGTCAAGGGAACTGATATCCCAGATCACAGGTTGCGACATGGTTTCCAACGTGGAGTTCGATTAGAACTCCCGATGTCTCCACTGAGGACCCATGCCGACCAAACACCGCATTCAGATCATATTCCGCGACATGGCGCTCGACGTGGGGCCCGAAGTCCAGCTTCGACGTCTTCGCGGCGAGCTCATGTTGCTAATTCCCCGCACAATTCTCAAACATTAGGCACAAACGGTCATATATTAGCGCCAGAAGAAAGGGCCCTAGCCGGCGGGGCCCAGCCAGGACAAAAGGAGGTCCCACAAAGCGCCTACACCGGCCGCATTTGCGGTCGGGGTAGACGACGGATGGGGCCCACCTACGAAGGCTGTCCAGGCCTACACGAGATGAGGCAGGATAAAGAGGGATAATCCCCCTCGATCCCAAATCATTGAGGCCAATTTCTAGCCATAGAATAATGGCGCGCGGTCATATATCGCGACATGGCGCCCAACGTGGAGCTCGATTTGAACTTCCGAGGTCTCCACCGAGGGCCCATGCCGTCATTACCGATCCCATCGATCATATTCCACGACAACGGACATTAAAAAAACTGCGACCCGTGTATAGTATTTAGCAGTTACATCAAATAGATTGTTTAATAGAATTATATATTAATTATTAAGCTGTGGAAATATGTTTCATTTTTATACAATGTAGAATCTATATTTTTGTTGATCATTTATTAGCGATTTAGAAGTATATGTGTATGTAAAAAAAATTGTATTAATTTTTATTTAATGATTTTGTTTATTTCCTTGTATTTATTTGAAAGTGGTGAACGATACAAATACACCTGATACGGGCACTGTATGAATTGCGGCGCAAGTGCGGGTCACTGGTATTGATTTCGTTTCACGACTTCGGAGTTTCGAATATACAACGGCACCCTCCAACGAAAAGATGCGAGATTCGGAACGGATCTTTAAGAAGGAACCTATTTAGTGTTTACTCGGATCAGTACGACCTACGAAGAGCCGGATCAGCCGGATCAGTCACACTCATGTTCCCACCACAGAAGGATATTCTGTGTTCCCACCAACTGTAATATCTATTATCTATATCTATGATTGTCACAAATTCCCCACAAATATTATATTTCTACGTTTTTGTGATTCCCCTATTTTTTTTAAATATTATAACAGACCATTTTTTATTTTTGTCAACAGAAAAACGTTTTTAATTGCTCGGCCTTAGTGATGGAAGAATTTGTAGTGATTAATAAAGCGGTATTAGAAAATGAAAATATCTGTGCAAATTGCAATAAACAACTTAATGTAACTCCAATTTATTGTGTAGACAGGAATCAACGTGTAGAGGAAATATGTGGTAGATGTGTGAATATTGCAGATAGTTACGGTAAAACAAAAAAATGGAGACAATATGCATATGAGACATTTGGCAAATTCCTAACGTTTCCTTGTTCTAATAAAAAGTATGGATGCAACGCTGTATTGTATTGGGACGACGTGTTGACACATGAAAAAATATGCACTTTTATAGGCACAAAGTGTCCCACATCACACAAAGATTTATTTCCCGAAGAAACCTGCACCTGGGAGGGTAATGTTAAGGACCTTTATGAACACATTGAAGTATCACATAAAACTTACTTATTAAATCCTCTGCAAATAAACTGGTGTGATAGCGGAGAAAACTTGTTTTTTTTTACCAATGTGGGAACTCAAATAATAACTGTTATAATCAAGTATGAAAAGGAAAGTACATATTATTGCCTATTAATGGTCAATGGCAATGATATAGAAAGTCAATGCTACCGTTATCAACTAGAATTGTTTGATGAGAACAAAAATAACTCGATTATACTACGAAAATCTAGATTAGAACCTCTTACATTGATGACGGAAAACCTTACTAACTTAGATAAAATGTTAGAAATTGATTTGATCAAAATAAAACAGATGCTAAAGCATTCAAAACATATATCTGGTCGCTTTGGTATAGTTAGGAAACCAAAAAAGGAAATTGTTTTGATTGTTGGTACAAAAAACCTGGAAGCGCTAATTGCACCAGTAACACCTAAAGAAAACAAGGTAATTGATGAAAAAATGCTTCAAGAACTGGAGTGCCCCGTGTGTAACGAACATATGATTCCTCCTATATTTATTTGTAAAACAGGTAAGTTAAAAACGCAATACATAACTACTATGCAAAAGCCATATTCTTTTGAGTTTTAAACTGTTTAAATTTGTAAAGAAAATTAGGTACCTACCCATGTATTTTCTTATATAATAATTGAATTTGATTAAATTGTGACCAATTTTAATTTTATGTAATAACCAATATAAGAACTATAAGATCTGTTGAAATTACCTTTAATTAATTATTAATGAAATGCTTGAGACTGATCCTACAAAACTAAATATTTGATGTCTCAATTCTGTAACAAATGAGGTCTCCTCTTTCAGAAATATTCAGACAGTTTCTTGGCTCATAATGATTTTTTGAGATATTCCTGAACTTTGTCAGAAATTAAGCATTTTTAATAAAACTTTCAATGTTTAACAAATTAGTTGAACACCCCGTATACATATTTTACATCTACTTGTTTATAAAATAAATAATAATGAACACCTTTATAATTGCAGGACACAGTATATGCAATGATTGCAAGAAAAGAATTTTAGTATGCCCTAATTGCCGTGATTCATTTTCTGGAGCCAGAAATTTTACTTTGGAAAAACTTACGTCTAGAGTAAATTATCCATGCCGTAACAAAGAACAGGGTTGTTCATTTGTGACAACTTCTGACAAAATCCTTAGTCACCAACAGAACTGCGAACTCTCAGAGCATCCTTGTGTATTCAAGTGTGGCTGGCAAGGCCAACGATTCTCCATATATAATCATTTAAAACTAATACATCCGCAGTCATTGTGCGACGTGAATACCTTACAGGTCTGTGATACTAAAGATAAGGAAATGTTCTATTTTTTATATGAATATGGCCAGTTGTTCAGATTCAGCCTTAGACAGGATGCTCCCAATAGCCCCAAGAAATTTAACGTTCAGCAAGTTTGTTCTTCTGACAGTGAGCCAAAATTTTATTACCAGTTACAGATAATTGATCACTCATCTAATGGTTTAAATTTTAGTTTTACTAATTTTTGTAAACCCCTAACTGATTTAAAAACAGCACATACCTTGGCTATTTCTATTCCATGGAACTTAATACAGCCATTTATTTTTGAGACACATTATTGTTATTATAAAATTTTAATTACCAAAATTTAAACGAAATTTTGTTATCTAGATGCTACAATTGTTCATATTGTAAAGTCTATTAACAATCGAGTTTTTTTTTCGATAATACATGAAAGATGAGTGAAAGTTGGTTTGATTATTTTTTGACAAATTTTAAATACTTTTTCCTTAACTCCTCGTGTATAACATATCTCCAAAAACTAAAACACTGCTTGCTCAAGTGATTGAACGATTATTTTTGGAGTATTGAGGAATTTAAGAGAATACTTCACATATTGCTCTCTATTTTATATTATCCCAAACATTTCTTAAAAACATAGTCTTTCCGAAACAAAGTATTTCTCTTCTATTTTGTTAGTATTCAAACAGATTTTCTTCCTCCATTGTAAATGACTATTGTTTTTGAAGATAGGTACATGAAAAGTGAAAGTCAATAATTTATCACACGGAATTAATTTTTTACGTCCAAAAAATATTTGAGCATGACAGTTCGCAGCTACCAACTCCTGTTTTTTCATGGAACATCCTTACATTTTTAAATATTTTATTAAAACACTAATAGATTACAATATTAGAAGGATTTGGTGAGTCTGTTAGTAAGGGAGATATAACAAAAAAAGCATGTATTAGATAATGAATGTGTAAAGATGGATTTCTACCAAATGAACAATTGAGTCTTGCTTTGTCTTTGTTTTATTTCTTAAAACGGGAAAAAACAAAACATAAATAAATCAAATACTCTGGCTCAACCAAAAGGACTGTATTCAAATCCAGTTTTTTAGTTCTGAAATTATTTCCATCAGAAAGACAGTTTTTGTTCAAAACATTTAGGCAATCGAATTTACACTATGTTTAGTGATGGTGACTTTTAATTTCATACAGTGTTCTGTAAAAAAAAGGAAGGAACAATGCCATCATTGACATTGGGTGTGATCATTTTAACAAGAAGTTCACAAAGCACTTGTTTACAAGATAGTTAGACTGTTTTTTAAAAACATTAAAAAAATCAAATTGTAATTATGCTAAAATAAATTAAAAATGATTGACCAGTGTCGATATACAATCTTATTAAAATAATAAATATAAATCTAACATTTCCTCTAAACTGACACTGTTCACAATGGTGTAAAAACCTTTTGATGTTATCGCTTTTGAGAGGGACTCCAAAAACAAAACATAAACAGTTGCCGACAACTCGAGTTTACAGAGTTTAAAAATTGTAGCTAAAAAGTTGTAATTTAGTTAAAATAGATACGAGTTTCTGTTTTCTTTGTTTGGTAGAAATCTATCTTTAATCGCTATCAGGAACATCGTTGATATTTACATCTCTGAAATATTGACTTGAAGATTAATATGAACATATAAAAATTGATATAAATGTATGTTTAATTAAAGTTTAACCTATCTTTGTCTCATATTATGTTAGTTGAAATTAAATAATTAAAAATTTTTCTTTGTTTGACATTGCCAATAAATGAGTGCCATATTCAACAAAATGTTAATATTTAAATTGCTCAAAAGAGTTTTAAATTTTACTGCAAGTGGTTTATTATAAGCAGTTTTGATTTTTTTTTTGTACAATACCTTTGTATTTTAATAATAAAATTAAGTATAAGTTGTGGACAGGATTTTTATAAATTAACCCCTTAGAAAATCTGTAGAATTCAGTGTTTGGTGATAAATGAAAATAACTTCTTTTGATACAAAAATTGGAGTGGTTTTTATATCAATGGGATGGTTATGTAAAAAATTCCTGTCATATAATAGTGAAATAGTAGTAATTAGGTTATAAGATAAATTCGTTACTACTGAATTAAAAAAAGAATCAAATCTTCAGTTTCACTTTAATATAATTCTCTAATGTAGTAGGTTTGTTTTTTATATATACTTTGTTGTGATCTTCCACAAATGTGTTTACTATTTGTACTTTAAAATAAATAAAAATTTATTCATTATCTTATTTAGTCTTCTAAAATAGAAATTTTGTTTTCAACAAAGTTGTCAGTACACAGTGATGGCTTATGAAAAATAAAGTGATTATATTTTGAAATTGAAGTGTAAATCCCATTGTTGCTGAGGTGCTGCAAGTTTCAACGTGTTTTGAAATTTTATATCGGTAGGTCGCTGAGCTTTTTTTAAGTGTTTAGGTCTTAAAGTGCGTGCGTTTTTTCTTTTTTTTGCTGGTAGCCCTGGGCCCACCCCTAGCAAAAATCCTAGCTACGCCCATGGACTGAACCCCCTGTTTTTTTAGGGAATGATTTCTAGGGCCATAGAGAATTTCTAAGGCAAAAAAATTTTGAACGCTGACACTGAAAACTCAAAAAAGGGTCCCAAATCCAAAATTAATTTTTTACAAACTTTTTTGTGAAGAGCAGGTTATTATTCGTTAGTTATGACGTTGGTATTTATAAATTTTTATTGAAATTTATTTTTCAGAATATACAGGGTGAAAGAGAATGGTTTTTTCCCTAAAAATTATATCGAGCATAGATGTAACGGTTTGTCATTGTTCATTGTAAACGAATCATTAGTATTGGTGATGCTAGATTTAGGGCAATGTTAGTTGCCTAAACTCGGCACTCACTTGACTTAATTATTTATGAAGGCTCTGTATTTACTATTATAGATGGTGCACCTTATAAAGAGTGTTACAAATTTCAAGTAAAAAAACTTATTCCTGCTCATCACAATCTAAAGAAATATACTGCGCGAGTGAGACGTCGGACACATGCAACAATGGAGGTTGCCATTTTTATGTATACTCATTATCAACTCAAAATTCGGACTAAAATATCCAAATATTGCATGTTGCTAAAAGAAATGTAAGATATGTATGTTGTTAAACTTAGAATTTTAGTAATGAAATTGGAGCAAAAATATGTAAGTATCAACTAAGAAAAATAAAATTGCTGCAACATTTTGCCATCAATTTACAAATGAAATTGTGAAGTTGTAGAACTTTTTATGGTAGGTTTGCAGGAAGTTTGCAACGAAATTGTACCTAATGGTCACAAAACAACTTTTAATTTAGCAAGTTTGTTGTAAACTGGACAATAATCGCACTGCAAGATTTGTTAGGACTACTAAAAATTTTCTTAGCAGTGTTCAAATATGCTTGTTTATTCTTTCTTACTAAGTTAATTATTGAATTATAGGGAAAAGATACTGCACAAAACAAATGGAAAAGGAGGTACAGTCAAATGAACTGAAAATGTATGTTATAGGTACTTCATGACATCCTGATCAAAATTCCCCATGGGCCCAATGTCTGTAAACGGCCAGTTTTAGAGCAATAAATGGTCAACGGTATATAATAACGGGTAATAATTAAAAAAATTTTATATGATGAATTTTGAATTCTGCTTTCAAATTTTTTTTTGCTTATATACACTAGAATCACTTCCAGACTAAGTTCAACTAGTTGCACTTAATTTAGGGTTCTCCCTTTTTGCACATCTTTCTAAAAAGAAATATAAAGTTGCATTTTTCTTTTTAAGAGATGCCTTTGAAGGAGAAGGTGCTAAGAATACATCTCATCTTTATTCTGCAGGTTGTATTGCTTGTAAAGGTTGGGGCACTTTTAAAATTGATGGTAAAACCACACTATTTAGGTTGTGGTAAAACTTCAGAATCGTTTGAGGCCGATGGCAGAGGTCCAGTAGTTTTTGACCTCGTAATGCTTTCAGCCCATTCCATGCCAAGGACATTTAGCCATTGATGAAATATTTTGTAATTTTTAGGAAAATTAGAAAGTATTGAAAGTAGCACTTTAGTATAAAAAGCAAACCAAAACTGTAAGTGTGTAAAACAACGGGGAAAAGTAACTTCTGAATTTGTAGGTAAAAATCGTTCAGATTTTTGCAGCTTTTAACAAAGCACATTATCTTAATTTACAAAATATAATCCTTAAGTCAGGCCAATAACACTAAATTCTCATATAAACAATAATATTAGAGGTGTTTAAATGAGGAAATAGCGAAAATAACCTAAAAGCAATTCAGTAAACAAAAAAGTTCAGTTCAGTAAAGTTTTAAATTTTAAGCCATGAACATTTCAAGAACCACCCAATTTGTGGTTTATTGTTCTTAGCAACCTTCAAAGTAAGTAGAGTAGTACAGTCCATACAATATTTGTTGAGACAGAATCCAAGAAACTAATAAGTCTATAGTAAAGTACAAATCATAAATAAATAATGCAATTTCAATTACAAACACGCTGTTGCAAACAAAGGAATAAACAAAGAAACATGTATATTATAAAGGGTATTGTACCTACTAGAAGTTATATCTCTGTTTTGGCGACATGATGCTTGAATTGTCGACATTTGAAATTAAAATCTACATAGGAAGAATGAGAATTGAGAAAGTGTCTTGATCTTGATCTATATATCTATGGTTATGATAAATTCCCCACAAATAATGTATTTCTACGTTTTTGTGATTCCCCTATATTCTTTTTTGTATTATAGCCATTTTTTATTTTTGTCAACAAAAAAACCTTTTCAGTTGTTTGATCCTAGTAATGGAAGAGTTTGTAGTGCTTAATAAAGCAGTATTAGAAAATGAAAATATCTGTGCAAATTGCAATAAACAACTTAAATGTAACTCCAATTTATTGTGTAGACAGGAATCAACTTGTAGAGGAAATATGATGTGGCAATGTGTGAATATTGCAGATAGTTACAGTGAGACAAAAAAATTTAGACAGTATATGTATGAGATATTTGGCAAAAAATATGTACTTTTATGGGCATAAAATGTCCCGCATCATACAAAAATATATTTCCTGAAGAAACCTGCACCTGGGAGGGTAATGTTAAGGATTTTTATGAACATATTGAAATATCACATAAAACTAATATTTTAAATCCTCTCAACGGCAGTGATATAGAAAGCCAGTCCTACCATTATCAACTAGAATTGTTTGATGAGAATAAAAATAACTCAATTATACTACGTAAATCTAGATTAGAACCTCTTACATTTATGACAGAAAATCTTAATAACTTAGATAAAATGTTAAAAATTGATTTGATCAAAATAAAACAAATGCTAAAACGTTCAAAACATATAATTGGTCACTTTGGTGTAGTTAAGAAGCCAAAAAATGAATTTAATTTGATTGCTGATACAAAAAACCTTGAAGCGTTAACTGCATATATGACACCTAAAGAAAACAAAGAAATTGATGAAAAAATTCTTCAAGAATTGGAGTGTCCTGTATGTAACCAACATATGACTCCTATATTTATTTGTAAGACGGGTAAGTTAAAAATGCAATACATTTCTTATATGCAGAAGCATATTCTTTTAAAAGTTGTAAACTGATTAAATTTGTAAAAATATACCTATGTATTTTCTTAGTAATCATTAATTGAATCTGATTAAATTGTTACAAATTTTAATTTTATGCAAATTTTAACTGATGATTGGAGGTCCATGTTAGTTCTCCCAATCTTATATAGGAAAAAAAAAGTTTAATGATTTTTTAAGATATTCCTGAAAATAGTTTAAATTTATTTTCACCTCTTTAATTTTTATGATAGAATCAATAACATTTGACCACCCTATATGTTTTACATCTACTTATTTATAAGAAAAAAAATAATGACGCCTTTATAATTGCAGGACATAGTATATGCAGTGATTGCATGAAAAGAGTTTCATTATGCCCTAATTGTTGTGATTCATTCTCCAGAACCAGAAATTTTACTTTAGAAAAACTTACGTCTAGAGTAAATTATCCATGCCGTAACAAAGATCAGGGTTATTCATTTGTGACAACTTCTGACAAAATCCTTAGTCACCAACAGAACTGCGAACTCTCAGAGCATCCTTGTGTATTCAAGTGTGGCTGGCAAGGCCAACGATTCTCCATATATAATCACTTAAAACTAATACATCCGCAGTCATTGTGCGGTGTGAACAACTTACAGATCTGTGATACTAGAGATAAGGAAATGTTCTATTTTTTATATGAATATGGCCAGTTGTTCATATTTAGCCTTAGACAGGATGCTCCCAATAGCCCCAAGAAATTTAACGTTCAGTAAGTTTGTTCCTCTGACAATCAGCCAAAATTTTATTACCACTTACAGATAATTGATCACTCATTTAATGGTTTAAATTTTAGTTTTACTAATTTTTGTAAACCCCTAACTGATTTAAAAACAGCACATACAATGGCTATTTCTATTCCATGGAACTTAATACAGCAATTTATTTTTGAGACACATTATTGTTATTATAAAATTTTAATCAGTAAAATTTAAACGAAATTTTGTTATCTTGATTTCATAATTGTTCATATTGTTCTATTAATAGTTAAAAGTACTCTGTTTTTTGACAATGAATGATGGATAAGTGACAAAAGGCAGTTTGCTTTTATTTTTTGTAAATTTTAAATACTTTTTCCTTAACTCCTCGTATACAACATATCTTGAATAACTTAAAACACTAATTGCACATGTGATTCAATGATAATTTTTTGGAGTATTGAAGAAATAAAGAGAATATTTTCTACTGTTTGTTTACACATTATAAACACTTTTGTCATATTTTTTCTTGTTTATTTTTCCTAAACATTTTTGCAAACATCAAGTCTTTCCGAAACAAAGTATTTCTATTCTATTTTGTTAGTATTCCAACAGATTTTCTTCCTCCATTTTATATTTTCTAAATCATGTACAAATTCATCGTTTGAAAAATATTAGACCTTGACCATAACTTTCTTATTTTTGAAAATACAGAAAAAATAAATATATATATATATATTCAATAATGTATCACAATGAATTTATTTTTTCATTAAAAAATATTTGAGTACGACATTTCAGAGATACCAACTTGTGTTTTTTCATGGCACTTTATATATTTTTAAATGTTTTGGTTTGTTAGTATGGGTGATGTAACAAAAAAAATGTCATAAGCATATATCTATTATAGAAAATTAATCTGTAAAGAAGGATTTCCACCAAATGAACAATTGGGTCTGTTTGGTTTTTGTTCTAATTCTTGAAACTGGAAAAACAAAATATAAACAAATCAAATACTCTGTCCCAACCAAAAGGACTATTCAGATCAGTTTCATTTTAGTTCAGATATTATTCCCATCAAAAAGACAATTTTTTTAAAACATTTAGGCCCGGTACTTTGAGTCTCAGTTAAGCCTTGGTTAAGTAACCACATGATTAGACTGTACATATACTGATTTATTTAGTATATTCAGTCTAATCGCCTGATTAGTTAATCAAGTCTTGACTGACGCTCAAAGTACCGGGCCTTAGAAAATGAAATTTAAACTATGTTCAGTGTCAGCAACTTTTTTATTTTTATGGGTGGGTGGTTTATATAGTGTTCTGTAAAAAAATGAAGTACCAGCGTCGACATTAACACTGGGTGAAATCATTTTGACAAGAAATTGTTCACAAGCACTTAAGAGTATCGTAAGATATATATTTTTTTAACTTTAAAATATTCAAATAGTAATTATACTAAATTAAAGTGAAAATGATTGACTAGTGTCAATCATCTACAATCTAATTAAAATAATAAACAGAAACTTGACATTTCCTCTAAACCGACACTGTCTACAATCATGTAAGAACCTTTTTGCTGTAAACGCTTTCAAAGGGGACTCAAAAAACAAAACAAACAATTGCGGACACCTCGAGTTTACAAAAAGTTTAAATATTGTTCATAAAGTTATAATTTATTTGAAATATACAAGTTTTTGTTTTGTTGCTGTTTGGTAGAAATCCGTCTTTATAACCATTGTTTGTGGTCAGATTTTCCACACTTAGATATTATGTTCTTTAAACTCTATATTACTGTAATTCTTGGGAAAGTTTTATTCTATACAAAAGTTCCATAACATAATTGATAGGTATTTATTTATTTAAACTGTTGACTTTTGAAGATTGATATGAGCATATAAAAATTGACATATAATAATAATAATAATATTCTTTATTCATATATTGAATAAAAAAGAGACACAATTATTTAATACAAACAGAAAATTTATGAAAGGGCGAAGTTCAGCTGTGTCGTCCAGTGGGCAACACACTGTACTTTCACTTAACCCATGCTAGATGCGCCACAGCATTTAAGTCACAGTTTAAACATTTTAAATACTAAATACATACATACACATATAGTAAAAAGAAAAATAATAAGATATTAGACAAAATAGATACGCAAGCGAAACAATTTGATTGTAATTAGGTACTAGTTATTGAAAATTAAAAGGAAAGGCTTTATATATATTTTTTGAAACAACTGACAGAGCGATTTGAGAGGCAACGGTTGTAAATTTTTGGCATATTGTAACTGAATGATCTTTCAAATGTTGCAGTTTTATGTTAAGGATGTTTGTTTCACATTTGACTTGTTTTATCATGATTATGTTGTTCTTTGATTTCTTGTGCTCACTTTATGTCATATGTCTATACGAGCCTTGTTGAAGTTACTAACATTTTCGCCCTTGAGGAACAAATTTGGATTAAGCTGGATTGCCTCCCGTATGGGACTCCGGTGTTGAGAAGGATCTTCCGAAATATCAACTTTAGCTGGACTGCCTCCCGTATTATGGGACTCCAGTACCTTCCGGCCCTGCCGGCTAACTAACACCAAACCTCTTCAGTTTTACTTGGAAGTGTGTATGACTAATATGGGGTAACAGATGACATTTAGTGACACATTAAATGAGACAGGTCTTATTTATCATTAGCAAAGGGATGCCTTTGGTTAGCGGTTGTTTTGTATTTATATTTGGGTGGTAAGAGCAACGATCGTGGGTTTCTCTGTCATGCTCTTACCCCACAGGAGCTCTAGGTGAGCCTGGCACTCTCATTTTATGTTAAATGATTGTTAATGTTTTTGTTGTTCTTTCTATTTGTCACGTTTGATTTGAAGACTGTTAATAATAAAGTTAGGTGTATTTACTCTGCTTTTGTTTTATAAAATTAAACCATACATCCCCTCAAAGAAAGATAGTAGCCAGCGCCTTCCGGTCAATTAAAAATAGATACACACAACGTAGGTATTCCTTATGACGATCACATATTTTTGGCCACAACTATGTTTATATATTTTTTTCAATCGAACCTGGGGTTGTTGTACTACAGACATAAATAATTAAAATATGTTGTTGGCCAAATGAACATATAATAATTATCTACACATTATATAAATTATTATAATTTTTACCCTTAGCAGAAAACTTTTTTAGGGACGCCTATGAAACTCATTAAATTTTATCGCTAGGCATTATACATGTTCAACTGACTTCGGAAAGACTATATCAAATAAAAAGAACCAATGAACCAGTTAGTTTTCTGCATGTAAACACCAATTGATAAAAAAAAAACATTTATTTCATTTTTAATAATACTTACACATACAGATGAATTAATATAAAAATAGAAAAATTTATACATACAACATGGACGGAAAGTAAACTCTTTTATAAGGCTCCTATTGAGTTTTTCAGATTACTATAAAAAGAATTTATTCGTAAAAATTCTTTGATAAACAATTCAAAATATAAAACACAAAGTTGTATAAAATTGGACAGAAACAATATAATATCAAAAAATGTTGTAAATATACAAAACAATAATTAAAATAATTTGTAAAGATTCATAAAAAATATATCTTACACACTAAAGCTATTAGTGTCATCTGTTGCTAACTTCTAAGTATAACAATGGAAAATAAGGCAGAAAGTGTCAAAATTATAATTGAGGCACCTGTACTGGTTGCTCCGGCATGGCAGTCAACTATCCTGCGAGCCCTCAAAAAGTCACCACCCAGATATCTGTCGTAAGACCTTTTATCAGGATCTATAATTTTCAGCCGTGTGGTAGCATCTTGGAAAATTAAATCGGAATATGGAGGTTTGGAATAAAACATGCTGAAGCTGGAAAAAAAGTAAATGTTATTGTTCGAGGCAAACCTACTTAAATTTACTGTAATTTATTTAAATCAAATTTTGTTCTTAATTTACACGACATTAATGGGCTGTTAAGAAATTTAATTAAATCCAGTTTAAATTTTCTTTGATGGATTATCTTAAAAATAAAAACAGATAGGCTCAAGGGATAATTATGAAAATTTTTTAAATAATCTAACGCCTTCTTGTAAAATATGACAAAATACAACTATTTTTCTTGTTTTAATTGATTTCTAGAGGCATTCTGCGATCATGAGATTCAGCAAAATTTTCGTCTTCTTTGTGGCTTATTTAATATTCACCTTTTTAATGATTTTAAATTTTAGTTTTATTTCACACGATTTTACGACCAGTGAAATTTAAATTACTATTGTATGATTTATTCATACATTTAAAAGCTGCACATCAACTTATTTCGGTTGCGAAGTTCAACTTCTTGTTTCACTCCACAGAACCAGAAACTTATTTTTGTCACTTGGGCTTCTTTCTATCCAGAATGGTTGAGAGGTAACCACAGGAAAATCAAGATGTGTATAAGAAAATTGAATTAATTTTATTTTTTTGTTTTTGATTTACAATATCATAGCATAGATAGGTCGTCTAAGTTACTAATTCTGTGGAAATTGTAATAATTCTATTTTAATATGAGTGAGTAAATAAGAATAAATATAGATAATGAGTAATATAGATATTATAAACAATAATAGGTTATAATATAAATATTTGTATAACAAGGTTATAAGTTAACAATTTTGAAAAAATATACTAAGAATTAAAAAATAAGTGTGCGATAATCAGAAATCCGTGCAAAATGTATCTGAGAGTTTGTTCAGATGGTTGGTGGAAAAATAAATTGAGTGTTGGAAATTTTGAAAATTGGTAAACTATCTAGAGCAGTGTTTCCCAAACTTATTTAAGGACGTTCGATACACCTCTTACGGGGCGGGCGGTGCGGAGAGTATGCCTATGTTTATACACGGGAGTCTTGTTGCAGTACCAACCTTACATAAATTAATTTCAGCGAACTAAGTATTCTATTTAGAATGAAATTTATACAACACATATTAGCTTGCATATTTTTTTCGTGTTTAATACACGTCAGTTCACTTTTTATTTGAATAAAAGCGTCTATTTATTCATTACGAGCTTGTAAAATTATGGATGAAATCTGGCAACATTGCCATGGCGTGGTGGTAAAAGTTGGGTCAACTGTCATTACTGTCAACTTTGCGCGAATTCCGTAAACATGAATGAACAACCAAGGTACAAAGGAAAAGTAATGACTGAAAAGTATAAAATGAGTGTAAAACAGAATGTGGATTGATGAGAAAAAAATAAAATGTGCAAACCGAGAATCCATATGATAACTATCAAGAAGTTCAGTGTATGATAGTGAGACGTCGACTTGTCAAATTGAAGATTATGACATAACATCTATACTGTTCGTTTTGCAAAGAGATCCTTTCAATTTTTGTTTCAAATTGCTAGTATATTGCTTTAGATCACGAAAAATTTATTTAATATTAATTATTACTACATATATTTTCGACTGGAATAATTTTATAATCTATAATCGAGCTATTCAAACAAATATAACGCATCAGTCGAAGCATTAAATACAGCGTACAGTGTTGCCATATTTCCTTTCATTGGATCAGATGTTTGTTCAAATTTGTCAAAACGTTATCTATTCATTCCATTATCTCAATAATTACATTGTAAGTGCATATTTTTATTGTTTTAAAATGTTTAGTAATATTTAATTCTTTAATTACAATTTTATTTTCCCGATCCTAACCATTTTTAAGAGCAATATTCACGTTTGATTAAAGTTTTTTCCCAACTGCCATAAGAGCCTGTGTAAAAGAGCATAATTTTTAAATTCATTTTTCAAAAAAACTACGTTGTCAATCGATCTGATATTTTTACACAAGTCAGTTTGCATATTTATTAACAGATTTCAATAGCTTTGAAAACATTCTTACCATTTTTCTTTTGGTATCGAACCTCCTTAAAGAGCGACCCCTTTTTTGTTAAAAATTTTTTCGGCGACCCCCTACTAATCACTCAAACCAAAATAGCGTGCCTAAATTACAATTAACTGATTATTTTTAAAATTTTATTTTACTTTATTGTTTAAGTTTAAATTAAATACATTAAAATTAAATTTAACAGTTAACTAATAGCACTTCTGCCAGACTAGCTTTTACAATAAAAATAAATTATTCGTTATTCAACATGTTGAAATACCAAACAACATGAAAGAAAAACTTATTGAAATATCACGTGACGGAATATTGAAGCTCCTATTCTTTTCCCAGAACCCTGACGAATTTTGAATAAAAAAAACAGGCGCATGGCTCTCATTTACACTATACTATTTTACTTTATTTTTCGCTTTTACTTTTAAGATGTATTAATATTATTTAGTTTAATGTTTCATTTGATAACAAATTGTTAATAATTACCTACGACTTTATTAGAATAAATATACATGATTTAACAAAGTGGTGTTTTCTCTTATTTTGGAAATTCCCGGCGACCCCCTTAATACCTCACTGCGGCCCCCCGGGGGGTCGCGACCCATGCTTTGGGAAACACTGATCTAGAGGCTTGTGAAAAGCTCACTGAGAGTGACTGGGATTTTTTTGAATGTGCTTGAAATTGAACACTCAATTAAAAACTAAACTGGATTCCAAAACTCGTCCGGATGTCCTTCAGGATATTAGTACAAGTTATTTGGATTGCTTCTACCTCCACAAATTATCGGCAAATGCATTTTTCCAAAAAGATAAGTCACATGGTGCCAAATCAGGCAAATACAAGGAGTGGTTGAGAGTTAAAATGCGATTTTTAGTCAAAAAATCGGTCACAAGCGCCAACTTCCTTCTGCACCATATTCTGGCCAAATATGATGCATTAAAGGCTTCAAAAATCCAAGGGGTCCTCCATTAATTACGTAGTTCCAAATAGGGGTGGGGGGATCTTTGGATAACATCACTATTGATAACAATTTGGAAAGGCGGTTGTTACATATCATGTGTATATTTTCGAGTAACCACATGCCCGAGAATGTCTTGCTGTGAGCTGCCGTATGACATCACGATAAGTAACACACAATTGACGTGGCCGATCTTTTTATTTTGTTTTTAATTAAAAAATATTCTGAAAATATTTAAGTTCTTTTTAACAAAAAAAATACATGTGATGTTAAATAGGTGGGGAGTGGGGTAGCTCAGAACTTAACCGTGTATCACCAGGGGGAGGGAGGGTGTAAAAAAGTGGCCTAGAAACCTCACGTGATTAATGGACAACCCCCAAGTTAGAATTGTGTATTAATGGTTTGGCCCAGTGGAACGAATTCTTTCAGGGTTCATAGTTCAAAAGTAATAAAGAATTCCCCTTTTCCAGGTTTTCCCTGACTTATAAAAAAAAATCCAAGTCACTTGTAGTTCAATTTTACATACTAATTGGTGTTTATGGATTACATTTTTTCTCGACTGGACTCCATAATCTTTTTTATACCCTAAGAACCTCTTATAAAGGTTTCAAAATCACAAATAGTTTTCTCTTTCAAGAACTCAGGGCCGGCTTATACAAAATTTCCAGTTGAAAACATCAAATTCCCCGACTCATGAATATTTTTAAAATTCAAGTTAAGGTTTTAGTGGGATAAAGATCAATAAATAAAAGAACACTATATTTTAAATTGTTGCCAACGTTTCGGTGTTATTTTACACCATCCTCAGGGCTTGAAATTTGAAGTGTCTTTTGTCCAACTTAACAGTTCTAAATATTAAGAAGATGGTATCTAGATACTTATATGTGTACTTATAATTCATGGAACAATTATTTCAATGCGGTTTTCTGTAATTCTGCTGAACCTAAGACGTTACAACAATTTTTACTGTGAAAGAAATCCTAATTGAAATTGTTCCATGAATTATAAGTACACATATAAGTATCTAGATACCATCTTCTTAATATTTACAATCATCTTCCTGTGGAAAGTTTTGAAGCAAGGTGAGATACATAATGACATTTGACAGTCGGGACAGAAGTAACGGGTTTCTTTACGTACACGTTTTCTTTAGTCACTTTTTGGAACACACTCCACAGACTTTTGTAGGATTTGTTTTCTTCTCTATTGGTGGGAGAACTTAAGGAGTGTCTTTCAACCAATCGTAGGGGCTGGGTGAATTTCCAGGCCGACCAGATAATAAGGAGAAATGGAAATTAAACTCCACCCGAGTTATATCGGGTTAGTAATCTGAGATCTGAAGGCCAATTCTGAGTTAACTCAGGATATTAAAGGAAATGGTCAAATTAAAATTTCCGAAATATTATTTTATTTTAGGATATGGTTCCCTCAGGTCTACAAGGTTGACTTAACTGTATTTTGTACATTTTTTGTGTAAATCGAGCGAAATCATAAAAATTATGAATTTTCTGAAATTCTTTTGAAAAAATTAATCAAAAATCGGAAATGCATAGGAATCTGAGTATGCGAATAAATACAAATTACGTCTCATTGTGACAAACATTTTGGGTCTTATTTTGAATCGTACGCAATTTACTAAAATCCAACGCAAATAAAATATCCAAAATACTTACCTGAATTCATCAGAAATTTTTCTACCATAAAACGTCTGAGCATACATAAATAGATTAATAAACGCATTGATATGTGTTTCGTTATATCCATAACCGCCCCTCGTAACAATCGCGTTAGCTTTTACTTTTCCTAAGTTGCATTTTTTATAATCGTGTATCTCGGCTCTTGTACCTAAAAAATATATTTTGTAAATGAAAATATATAACAGTCCCATTCAAACTTACCATCTGGGCATAAAAGCTCATAATCGTCGTTTAAGTTGTCTCTCGTCCACCACTCTTTCTTTTTACCACCAGTGTTTTCTGTAACTGTAGTGTGCTTAACAAAAGCCACATGCCCACCTCCTTCAACAAGACATCTAAAGGCACCCGTATGTCCGTAATAATCTTCTGAAGCATCGCGCCTACAATATCTACAAAAATAGGATATTAGAAATAAGAACTAATTCAAATTTTTGTTTTGTTTCCATATAATTTTTTTTCTGTTGGGAAGTTTATCTTCATTTATATAATGTGTTAGAAGTTTGACATAGTTTTAATAGACGAAAGTATACATTAAAATAAACAAAAAAACCTTATATGAGATGGCTAAATGAAACCATTTTCGAGAAAAATATGACAAAAACCTCCAAATTAATGTTCAAAAATCCGATTAATTAAGTAACCTCGAAATAATTTTGCAGTAATAAAAACACTAGTTTTGTTAATCAATAAAATTTGATAAGTTGGTATTGTACAATATAACAGGACGAGGAACGCTACTAGCAGAGTGATAAGTTGGTCAGTGCCTTCATAAATGCCCAAGTCCCATGTGATCAGATTTGTTTTGGAGCTCAGCAAATTTGACTTTGTTAAGTTGGTGTTTCCAAAATTACCAAAGAAAAATCACCAACTAGCACCCTAGATTAAATGTCAATCCAGAGAATGTATTTTTTCATATTTTTATGGCCATTATATAAACAATGTAGCAGTGTTTACTATATTTATGTGCTTTGTTACAAACTAGTCTTTGTCTGTTGAGTTGAAAAAAAAAACATTTGAAGGTTATGTTTATTTGTTACATTATTTCTTGTAGATATTTGTAAAAATGTCGTTTACATTGGAACAGGATGCATTTATTTTGATGACATATTTTCGCAGTGGTACACAGAATTCAGATAGAAGTTGGTCTTACCCTTTGAAATCCTCCATGGAACAATTTGTTGAAGCATTTCATGATGCTAATATTGCATATGATGTTTTTAAAAACCACAAACTAATCCTTGTTAAAAGGTGTGAGGAAAAATATTATATTTACAAGGACAAATTGACAGGCAGACCTACTTTTTTAACAGATACTGCGATAAACTTAATATACTTAGCATGTGAAGCGCAATGTCTCCATCTGTCTGTCGTGCCGACTTCCACTATGCCATTCAAATGTGTACTACGGTGGAAGCGACCTGCTAAATTTTGCCCGGTACTTTGTTGCACAACTGTCGCCTAGAGGGTGAAAACAACTCTAACCAGTGATGCGAGAAACAACTACACCGCGGGCTATATGCCCACCAGGCACAGACCGGTTTCGGACTTATTAGTCCTCATCAGTGTGTCATAGGTGAGACAACCGACGAACGATCCAGCTGTTATAGTCGTATATTAATATACTTAGTTTGAATTATGTAAATTTTTTACTATTCTTTAGATTGTATTTTCTTATTATATATATGGGGGGGGGGGGGCAAGATAAGAGAGAGGATGGCAGAAATATAAACAATTATAGGTAGAAATAGGTAGTGAATTAATTTTATTTTAGAAATATTTTTAATAAAACCTAAAAATTCCAGAGCTAAATTTTTAAAATATGGAAATGTATTACTTTTTAACATAAAATTTAATATTTTTAGTCTTATCAATATTTATACTAATTTATTACAATTGTTTAAAAAAAAAAAAATAGTGTTAATTTTCAAAATTAAAGTAAATAAAATATTTTATTAAAAATTTTCAATCTAATATTTTCTTAGCTTAAGAAAATTTTTGCACTTTTTCGAATTTCTAGAGGGGGGGCAGCTGCCGCCCCCCTGCCCCCCCTTGGCGACGCCCTTGTCCTGTTACATCATACATTGCATACTGAAGTCGACATGTGTCGAAAACAAGTAAATATTGGGAAAAACTTCATATTACGAAAATTACTCAAAAATTAACGATCTTTCGAATAGACTGCATTACCACGTTCCAAAAAATTTTCAGTATTCGGAAATATTGGCAGCAGGAATGTGTAAAATGGCACACCCTGTATATCTCTATAAGATTACTGTTGTGCAAGAGTTACGTCCTCCTGATCACAAACAACGAGTACAATATTGTTGATGGTTTAATGAACATTTAAATGACGATAACTTCTGACCTGACGTTCTATTCCGATGAGGAAAATCTGCATAATTTTATTGAAACAACATTATATCATCAGAAGATAGATATCTGGTTAACAGTTTCAAGAAGGTGGATTATAAGCCCAATTTTTATCCGAGAAGTAATAAATGGAGAACGATACCGTAACATTTTACAACAAGCTCTGGAATTAATGCATGACGATGAACTGCAACATGGATATTTTCCACAAGATGGAGCTACAGCACATACTGCAGCAAAAAAAAAACAGATATCTACAGGAATTTTATGGACATTTTTATCAATTTCGCCATATCAAAAATAATTTATTTAGACATCCTCTTCACATGTTTGAAGAGCTGGAAACAGCAATTGAACATGAAATAAACATTATAACACCAAATGAACTTGAATACATTTTTAAGTACATGAAACGCAGAGTAAATTTATGTTTGGAAAACAAAGAAAAATAATAGAGCACTGAAATTTTTTGTGTTTTATTAACAAAATTTAAAATATTTTGGAGGAGTATGATTATTTTTTAAGTAAAAATGTAAAAAAATGATTTTTCTATTGAAAAAAAACACATTTTGCAGATTAATGTCCAATGTTTGTATAGAAATGTAATATGTACTTCACTGGACTATTGCCTCCAGTGACTCCCTGGGTCTTGGGTATTTATGAAGGCACTGTATTAAAGCTTACCTGAAACTGGGACCATGGCACAGGTCACACATGTTATCATAAGGCACTCCTGTATTATATTCAGTACTTAACGCTCCCGGCACGCAACTCTTAGTAAAATATTCAGCTGCTGCTCTAATGCTGTTACAACCGTACGGTCTTATCCAACCATTACTGATCAGAAATGCCAAAGGATAAACCCACCCAGCTGCCGTATTAATACCACCATGGCAGGTATTTTTATCTAAAAAAAGAATTGATTCATAAAAAAAAAACAGAAAAAATCAATAAGACTGCTATCATCATTGGAACACCCTGTATAACTTACTTTTCAAATATGTAAGTTCCGTGGTAGGATCGGATTCCTTAGCGACTGCAACAACATAGTATTCAGGTTCATCCAAGTTATAAACTTCACTAATGAAAGGCACTAAATCGTAGTTTAAGCCTGCAGTATATACGTCGCTTGCGTCCAATATAGTGACATCTGCTGTACCCGCTCGTATCGCTTCCATGCAGTGAATCTGGGAATGTCCTTTGTAACAATCCATTTCTGGCTTTATGAGTTGGGCTTTCAATGCAGTCTAAAAAAATAAATTCAGGTAAACTATTTGAAATTTTAAGTTCAATAAAATAGAGCTCACCCTCATTTTGACACATTTATTATTCTCGGCATCAGACGTAACACACAAGGTCATTCTGTTAACAGGACAATCACGTACTCCCATAATAGCCTTTAGAGATTCCCCCAAAAAGTTCGTATAAGATTGTTGGGGCTCTAGTATAGGAGTAAAACTTGTAGCGGCATCCTAGGGAAGAGCAATATTTATTTAACATTGAACATTTTGTTACATTAAAATCCTCATAATATTATTTTTTAAATACAACTAGGTATAGATTATTTCGCAATTTTTAGTGGTTAGTAAGAATACTTTTTATTTTTATCATACAATACATTTGCCAAGTACAATACCTTTGATATTATTTATCAAAAAAAAGATATTCAAATAAAAGTTACATAAAAAAAATTACCTGCAGTGTAAAATTATTTTCAAAAATTCAGTGTGATATCGATGTTTTAGTATGAAAACATGCTATCTCAGATTTCGGTTGGAAAACATGCTAACTCAGATCTTTAAGTAAAAACACGCTATCTCAGTGTGACTAGAAATTTAAGTTGGCACATTGAATGATTGAAACTATGAATTTATAATAAACTTATATAATATATTTTTAAAAGGAATGTTTATGTTCAGGTACACTGTTCATTTTATTTTTTTTATTCAACATTTTTTAATTAATTTTGTTAAGTTACTGTTATAACCGACAAAATTGTTTATTAAAAAAATAGAATATGCAGTGTGCAGCAACAAGTACATTATTTGACGTTTTTTGAAATAACAAATTATAAAAAAAAATAGTGTATACCTTAATATATAAAAATGTTTGTTATTACAAAAATTATTCGATTTTTTTCATACAAATTTGCTCTGATATAAAAATTAATAGCGCACTGTTACCTGATTTATAGTCACTACTCTTACTTACGTTAATAGAGTTAACATAATAACCAGAATATAAATATAATGTGTATAAATTTGAATGATATGTATACATATATCAGTGCGACGGGCGTATATGATTTGCACACATGTTTATCATCAGCAGATCATAAAGTACCGGTAGTAAAAGTGTGGCATACCTGCATTTCATTTCCAAAGTCTATGCAAGCACGCGGCTACCATACCTTTAAAAAGCCATTTGTTTTTATTGAGGTGCAATAAGAACGATTCAGACCTGGAATTTGGGGCCTAGCCTGGTCCACTATATAATTCTTTTTATTGCAGTCTTCTTAGGCATACAAAATTATTTTCAGAATAATTGTGCATCCCAGATTTGGTGAAAAAGAAAAATAAGTGTATCAAGAGTAGCGACTATAAATCAGATAAGAGTACGCTATTAATTTTGATATTAAAGCAAACTTGTGTGAAAAAAATTGAATAAGTTTTAGTAATAACAAACATTTTTATATATTAAGGTATACACTATTTTTTTATAATTTGTTATTTCAAAAAACATCGAGTAATGTACGTGTTGCAGCATATTATTCTATTTTTTTAATTAACAATTTTGTCCTTTATAACAGTAACTAAACAAAATTAATTGAAAAATTTAGGTACCAAGTTTTGAAAAAATAATCAAATATAATATTGAAATATATGGAAAACCCACACAACATTATTTTTTATAGTGAAAGTCCATTCTTCTGCTTTTGTCAGAAATAAATTTTTCAATCACTTTTTAATTAAAGTTAGGTATTTCCGCATCATTGATTTTTCAGTAGACAGCATTGCAAGTGATGTTAGTCTATCTTTATGATCTAATTTAAACTTTTACAATCTTTTAAAAAACACAGAAGAAACAATACCTAGGTAACAGAATTTGACACCACACGTAAACAAATTACGTTGCGTAAGAAAAAAATGCGGCGAATAAATATTATTCGGTTAAGGGCAAACTAAGCAGAGCCCAAACTGCATAGTAAATATGTGCTACCCCCACTTCGTCTTTTACTGCTGCACGACGGTAACCATGATTACCTCTGTAAACACTTTCCAGATTTAGGGGCAAGCTACGAGGAGCCCAAGTTTTCGGTATCTTTCAAATGAATTTTGCAAGTCGAGTTAAATTAACTGCGCATTACAAATTTAATATTTCCTTTTTAATATATTTCATAAGGCAAATCTATTTAATTATCTAGATAACACAAATTATTATTTTTTTTCTATTGTGTTAATAACTGTGTCCTAAATATAACAAAAAATTATCCGACAATATTTATAGTACCAGTTACAGAAAATGAAGTATATAATTTAATAATGGATCAAAAAAGATCTAATTCTTGTGGCGTTGATGATATTACTGCTAACATTTTAAGGTCTATAGTTCATTTCATTACAGGTCCACTAACATATCTGATTAATTTATCAATTTCAACAGGTATATTTCCAAACATTTTTAAAACAGCCAAAGTTGTTCCCCTTTTTAAGAAGGGTGACCGATCGTCACTAAATAATTATAGACCTATTTCTCTGTTATCGAGTGTGTCAAAGTTGTTCGAAAGAGTTGTCTACAACAGAATGATACAATTTTGCAGTGATTATGATATACTGTGTGATGAACAACATGGGTTTCGAGTGGGTAAGTCCACCAAATCTGCAATTCTCTCTTTTATAAATCAATTATATTACAATCTGGACTGTGATAAAAAATGCTTTGGCATTTTTATGAATTTAAGCAAGGCATTTGATTTGGTGGACCATACCATTCTTCTCTTGAAGCTTGATAGATATGGTTTCAGGGGTATGTTGGGTCAGTGGATCAGGTCTTATTTGACGAACCGGTTACAGCTAGTTCAGATAAACTCGATACTGTCGGATAAATTACCCATATCGCGAGGGGTTCCCCAGGGTTCAATTTTGGGGCCTCTATTGTTTTTGTTGTTTCCTGGTAATGTTTGCCGATGATAATACTCTTTTAAATGTGAAGGATGACATGACCACGTTGATCACTGACACGCAGGATAACATTGATCTCTTTTCATCTTGGTTTGCGACTAATAAGCTTTTATTAAATCGGGAAAAAACGACATTCATAAGTTTCAGACCATCGTATAATAATGTAAATTATTTACTTAAAATAAATGGCAAATCTTTAGAACAAGTGACATCAACTAAATTTTTAGGTATTTATATAGACGATGCTCTGAACTGGAGTAAGCATATTTGCGAATTATGTAAAAGGTTGACTCCTGTATGTTATGCTCTTTTCAGACTCAGAGGTATTACGAATAAACAGGTGCTACTCTCATATTATTATGGTCAATTTTATTCGAGGCTGTGCTATGGTATCTTATTTTGGGATTTGTCTCCTCATTCGGATAGAGTGTTTAAATTACAAAAAAAGGCGATACGCAACATTGAGGGTATTAGTACATTTACCTCATGTAGACAATATTTTAAGAGTTTGCGGGTGCTGCCCTTGGCTTGTGTATATATTATTGAAATGCTTGTGTATGTGAAGGAGCATCTTGATTACTTTAGAACAAACAATTTTCATCACAAATATAATACTCGTAGGCAGAATGATTTACTTATACCTAATCACAATTTAGTACTCTATGAAAAATCTCCTGCATACATGGGTATTAAAATATTTAATAAATTACCACGTAGATATAAAGATATTGTTAACATAAGGACCTTTAAGACCAAAGTAAAAGAATTGTTGCTACTACACTGTTTTTATACCACTGATGAATTTTTGACACATCAGTTTTAGATGCCATCTTCCAAATTGTGTTAAATTCATGCATTTGTGACATTTGTTTGTATTGTATTGAATGTTTGTTATATATATGTATATTTTTTCGTTCTCTATTTATATCTTTTTATCTCCTATTGATTTGTAATCGTTGACGACTCCTATACTTGTATTGGTCTATTGGATAATAAATTATTATTATTATTATAATTATTATTACCATTTTTAGGTGGGCTGCACCCCAGAGCCACCTCGCACCAGCCGCCACTGATGTTATCTTACCTGAACGTTCTTTTTTGCATTTTCTGAATATACAAAATTTCAAGAATATTCTGTGAAAAATTCAAATCGATTTGATAAATGGTTTTAAAAAAAGAAAGAAAAAGATATCCCACAATAACTGTGGGGCCTTTAGAGCGGATCTGAGATAGCAGCCGAACATCACAGACCAGCGTATATAGCTTGCAGACCAACATGCAAACGAAAACACTCTAGAAGGTAGAATGATACGTAGACAACAAATCGACATTTGCACATTGGCAGAAGGTCTATGTAAGTATAGTTAATAATTTAATGAAATTGTAAAACCTAAATGTGAAATGAAAATCTGAACAGTGATTTATTGAATTTGACGTTTTTTTTTCTGACGAGGCATGGGTTCATCTATCAGGTTACATTAACAGCCAAAATTACAGAACGTGAACTACAGAAAACCCACATGTTTATTGAAACTTCGCTACATGCTCAAAAAATTGGTATATGTTTCAAGGAGGCTGAAAATAGGACCAGTTTTCTTTCGAGAAGTGATAAATTGTGAAAGGTATAGGGGGATTTTACAACAAGCTTTAGAGCAAATGCATGATGACGAATTACGGTTTGGATATTTTCAACAAGATGGGGCACCAGCACACAGTGCAGTAGAAACGGTTAGATATTTAGAAGAATTTTATGGGGATCGAATTATTAGTAGGGTATTGTGGCCTAGTCGAACCCCTGATCTTACACCTTTAGATTATTATCTCTTTGGACGTATAAAAAATAATATTTTCAAGCAGCGAGTTCACACACTTGAAAACCTAGAAGTAGCGATTCGCCATGAAATCGAATCCATTACGCCTAATGAATTGGAACGTATTTTCGAATGCATGAAACAGAGGGTAAATTTATGTCTAGAAAATGTCTACGTAGACATTTTGAACACCTTTTTATAATAAAAACTAAACAAAATACCGCTCACCAAAACACTTTTTAATTGTGCGTTGAAAATGTTAACTTTGTTAACAAAACGCAGCATCGAAAAAGTAGAAGTGTATTGGTGTGGTAAAATTATTTTCTGTTTTGTATAGACATCAAACGTTCCAAACCTATACTAAGATAAACAAAACTATTGTGACTTTTTTTATTCTCTACCTGTTAAAACTTCTAGTTTAAATATGAACAACTGTAAACATAACTAATTTTTTTCCTGTAACATAACAATTTTATGGCAAGATGTATGCAATATATAATAAATAAAATTTTTAATAAACATTAAATGATCAACAATTAATTGTAAATTGTTTTTTTGAATTTGACTTATCCATGTATAAGCCAGATTTATTCATTTCAGAGTTAATGTAAATTTCTAAATTAATACATCAAAATAAAGAGCTAAAATGAAATCTTTCTTAAATTACCTTTTCCTTTGATACAAATAAAATATCTACACCACTGGTGCCATAGACTGATTCAGTGTTTTAATTTTTATGGAATACCAATATGTATTGGGAAATGTAATGTTGGTTGCCAATTGTCGCGGTCACGTGGGTCTCAGACATTAATGGAAGCAATATTTTAAGACTATAAATATATGGCCCAAAATGCTTTATTTCTGAGAAACAAGGTTTCAAAAAGATGTAAAAAATTGAAAATTTAAAATCTCTAATACAATTGGAAAATAATAAATTAATTTTTTTTACCTGAAATAATAAATTTCCATGTCGACCATATCTTGGTACCGACTCAAACAGACTAAATACCTCATAAAATGTGGAGTTGGTTTGATCAGCTGTACTCTCTGTACTACTTTCATACAAGGGATCTGTCGGTTTGCGATATTTAATATCCGTGTCATAAGGATCTACATTGACACCATACTGGTCAGGATTAAGAATCTGAGGGTTTCGGTCAAAAGGATTTCCCGGGTCATTTCTGCCAGCAGTATATCGCTCACGCTGATTATTATACTGATTGTCATCCTGATTGCTGCCACCATATTGATTTGAATTGTACTGATTATCCCTACTATATGGGTTATAGTCTCTATTAGAATTATCCTGCCTGTAAGGGTTTCCATATTCATCATTATTTGTAGTTCTGCTTCCTTGGGACCCTAAATTACCAAAGTTTTGTCTCTTGTATCTATTTCGGTTTCCAAAGGGGTCATATTCCGGTTGTATTCTGTTGCCAAACTGGTCATACTCTGGTTGAATTTTGTTGCCATATTGGTCGTATTTGTTTTCTAACTGATTACCACTAACTGCACCAAAGGTAGCATTACCTAATCGTTTCGGATACTTCTCGGCAAATTTTTTTAAGAATTTTTGTAAAATATCACGGTCTTGAAAAGACACAGCAGATGAGGTAACCACAGCATCGGATGGTACTTTGCCCCAATTACATGGCATATATTCTGTTAGAGGTCTGCGAGTCCCATCTTTACACAACAATTCAAAATTGTCTGATGAGAGACCAGCTACAAATAAACGTGATGATAAAATTGAAATATTTTATTGCCGAAGGTATCGATAAGCAACGTTTTATTTGTTCTCTTAAAAAATTGAATAAAATGAAGTATGCTCACTAAAATCCATCCCAGATATATGTTCCTGAACAGTATTGTGCTTTAAAAATGCTATTTCACCAGCTTCTAATAAACATCGGAATGCTCCATTGTACCCTGCATATGGGTCCGAATCTGTGCAACGACCACCAGGAATTTTTCCAATACATAACTTACACAATTTGTCTGAATTGTCTCCAATGGGATTGTACTTATCAGTTAAACAATTTACAGCACACGAAGAACCAAAATAATTTGTTGCAGATTTGACATGATTATTGCAATCGATTATCTCCATTCCTCCTTCTTTCATTAACTATTAAATTAAAATTAATTAATCAAATTTTGTTTGAGCAATATTAAAATCACAATATTTGAAAATACAAATCAAAGATGCTTAGGGTAAAAATTTTTTCGGAAATTGTTACTGTTATACAGGATGTCTAGTATAAGTGCGGCATATACCTAATTACTTATGTGTTTTTAAGAAAATATAGTATATACCAAACTTTGCAAAATTCATAAATCAAAGCTTACAAAATAAAAGAAATTATAGTAATACCTAAAATTGTTTGCCTTCAAGCATAATAATTTAGTTCTACAAACATCACCTTACTTTATACAAAAATATACCATGTATATTTTTTGTCTTGTGTCTTACTGCAACACTAATTATAGTCAACAAGATCCGGTTATATTTTATAGTGGCAAAATATACAAAAAACAAAAAATACACCGACAGTACCAATTTCAAATTTATGGGTCTCAACAGAATGAGAGCATTCTAATAATAAACTAATCATGCTAATTATAATATTACAATTTAATAGCCTTACTGTATTAATTGGTAAAATCCATCCGGCAAAAGTTTCTACACCCGCAAAACAAGCTTTCTTTTCTCTAAGTTGGTATAATGAGTTAACATCAGCGAGTGTTCCCTTTTTTATAACAGCAACAGCATAGTAATAATTAAATCCCCCTTCTAATAACTCTTGAGCTATTGGTACTAAGCTATAATAACGTCCTCCATTAAAAACGGCACCAGCATCTAACGTTGTTAATGTAGCTTTTTCTTCATCTAATAATTGCATACATTCATTTTTGTTATAGGCTTGCATACATTCAATTTTTCCTTTTAGGCTACCTCTTCCAGTACCTACTTTTATTTGATCTCTTTCAACTGCCATAGCAAAGTTTTGGCATTTTTGTTGTTCTTCTCTGCTAATTGTACACCAAATAATTGTTTTCATTGTTTCTTTATGTTTGTCATCGTTAACCTGAGTAATTTTCCAAAAATTTTGACCTAAAAACGTAGAACTTATTTTTATATTCATTATTATCTATCCAATTTAAAAATGCTTAATGAAAAATTAATTAACTAATTCCCCCCCTTATTATATATAATATATTATAATAAGTATCTTTAGTTTCCTCAATAAATTGGTAATGTCTATAAAAATACTTATATTTATTAAAAAAAATTAAAAATATTGAAAAATTCGTTAACAAAATAAATATGCTAATTAGCAATTACCTCTAACATTTCCTATAAGATTAAAAATGACTACAAACATGACAAAGATAAGATAAAATTTATCTTTATAATACATTTTATCTTGTTATATCATAGACGGAAAATAAACGGAGAATATTAAAACAAATTATTAAAATAACAAAACGTTAAACCACATCAACAACCATCTCTTATTATTATTAGTCACTAAACCACCACGCCCATAACCTATAAAGATGGGTTAGTCAAGTCCTTGCTTTCTGTTTACATTTGTAAAATATGCACCACAACGGAGGGAAATTTGATTACAAATTTTGAAATTTGTTTACTGATTTTTCTGTTAGCCTTAGATTTTACATAGGAGCGAAAACTGCACCTTAATTTTTATTTTATTTAATTATGAAGATAAGTATGAAAGACGTAACAATAAGTTTTTGAGAAACTTCGAAATTTTTCAAATACAACTTTTTGTAAAAAGTTCTATAAACTTACCTTCAGCCCAATAATTGAAACCTCAAATTTCACTAATTAATAGCTTTGTAATTGGTACCTAATTTTTGTAGGAGTAGGAATATTGAAATTTTCCAAAATTTTGTAGTTTTTACATTAAAAAAAATGTAAAAAACGGTAAAACATTATCTAGTGAAAATGTAACGATAATTAAAAAATACAGGGTGTCTCATAATTAGCTGCCAACCCTGAATAGGCCGATTCTATGATCAAAACTAAGTAAATAACGACGTTCGCAAATAAGAACATCGTAACTCGATAATGATGGTTTCTCACAAAGTAGGTTTAAAGTTCTAGAGGTTTTCTCTTAATTGCAACACATCTTTTCAAAGTTACCATATGAAATTTAGTTACAGTCTAAATATGAGGTACAGAAACAATTTCTTATAAACGTATAGTGAAAATTACTATTATTTTTCTTTTTAAATTAACTTTAGTAAGATACGATGGAGCTATCTGCTATTTTTTAAGTAACTAACATCTTATGTAGAGATGAGATGTAACTATCTCTATATCTAAGAAACCTAGTATATCATATCTAAAGATACAGAGTTGTATACACTCACCACCAGCAGTAATAGAAAAGTAATAACATCGTATGTTAAGTTAAGATGAAAATACCACATA